CTACCCTCTGCCAGCTTGTGACCGTTATTCCTGGTCACTTTTCTTCCCTCCCTGCCTGTCCCCAGCACTCCCCACAGGCCCACTGCTCCCCACCCGCAGCTCCAACACCATGTGGTACCAGCTGCAGGGCCAAGACCGTGCAATGCAGCAGGAGCACCATGCAGTTGCCAGCTCAGAACTACGTAGTGCTGGCTGGGCCCAGCTGACTTGCTGCACTGGAGATCCTTCTCATCTTCTACCTGTTCTTACCTTAATTTCTCTCTCCACTGGAGGGAACAGCCCCAGGCTCTCAGGCCGGGGCCGGGGCTGGTGAGTCTTGCTACTGCTGCCACTAGGTTCTGCTACTGCTGGCTTCTGTCATATTTGACAGGAAGCCAAGGGCAGATGAATATTAATTTAAAAAATAAAATGTAGGGCCATATTTTGCCCACCCCTGGTATAGGTTAATTCAGACTTGGCTTAAATCTGAGGGAGAAGATTCTATGATAGGGCCCTATCTAATTTTAGACTTGATAACTATAGAATGCATCTCGCACAGAATGAGATGCATCATGGGAAGCTTTGGATGATCATCTCTGTTCAAATATTCTTTCAGTATAACTAGTGAAATTTTGTTGCAACATTTATTGAAACCTGTTTTAACCTAACATGTATGCAATTTTAACCAGAGTCACACCCCATAAACAACAATCAACATAGTAATATCTCCATAATATTTTTTAAATGTGCAAAAGAGGACTCTCATACTTTCTGTCCTGAAGTACTATTTGCGGTTTAATCAATAAGAATATATGCGACGCAAATGGTATCAGCATCTTAATACCAGATTAATTTAATTGGCTAGTCACATTTTATGTAACCATTAAATCATCTTTATACAGAAGTTAAATTTTTGCACACCACAACTTTTAGGATTGGGAAGAGAAATAGGCTGATGTTTTTCTTTTTTCTGTTTTTTATTGCACTTACTGCCACTGGCATTAAACTGTTTATCAATGGGAACCAAAATGAAATTTCCTCACTGCCTGTCCCCAAATAAGTTGAAAAATACAGGATATGATTAATGCTTAGGTATTTCTTGGGCAAAGTGTCTAAAATATAAAAAGAGATATTCATTTGACTCATTTCCAAGAAGGCAATTAGATGAAACAAAAAACACGTATAATAATGTGTTTTACTGGCAGAATGACTAAGAGTTTAAGAATGTTTATTGATCTAGTGTCTTGAAGACAAACATCTCAAATGAAGCAGAATCGTATCAGCTACTTAACTTTAAAATTAACTCTTACCCTAGGTACAGGATATGAGGCCACCTTTTTAAAAATAGTAGCACCTTTACAAATATGAGCACTTTTAAAAAAATATCTTTGTAGGACACCATGAAGCTTCTTCTTGACTGATTAGCAAGAGGACTGTTCTCAGCCTTAAGAATATCAACCATTCAATTTTTTGCTGGTATCAAATGGCTTTTTCTCTAATGCCTAACAGACAAAATACTGATGCACGGACAAGCAGACAGGTCTTATACAGTCCAGATGATGTCATTTTAGCCCCAAAATTAAGTTCCGTAGCTGGTAATAGACAATGTTGTTATCTGAAAGACCTGTAATCATCATTAACTAACGCCCAAATCCCATAATGTCACATACAATTACACAGGTCCGCACAGAGCCCCACTGAATTCCATATATGCCATCTATCTGTACTCTAAATCAGCACTTGAACATAATCTAATAAGCAAGCTGGTTGTACATGGATAAATATCCTCCCTTCTAAAAAAGCCATTTGGGGTTTAACAATATGCTGGTACATTTTTTGATTTACTGTTCTACGGTATCCTTTATCTCATTTCTCTGCAGAAACTAAAGCAACATGCACTTAAGACATCTTCATTTTTGTACTGCAGTAACATCTAACATTCCAATCAAGATCCACAATTCTTTGGAGTATGTGCTATATAAACACAAAATAACAGCTAGAAAAGCTCATGCTTTGGTTTAAAGACAAGACCTTACAAATGCATAACACACAGTAAGAAGAGTGGGACAGAGAAGGAAGGGCAACAGTCAGAAAAATGATGTTACATAGACTAGCAAGTCGTACAATTTTGTAGTTTCGAAACTTTTAACATGTTTTAATATAAGTCATTAGTCAGGATTTTTTGACTAAATTGCTTGAAACGCTTCCCCCAGTGCGTTCAATGGTTGTATTCTTTTTGTTTCAATAGATGTTAACAAAATTTTGAGTTACACATCCAGAAAGTATTAGTCCCCTCTGTTTAATTCCAATAATTATTGAGATTGATTTCAGAGACAAACTGTCCTATAAACTAGGATTGAACAAAAGAAAAATAGTCAATAGTTGTGGGAAGAAGGAATCAACAAGTAGAGGCTAAGAAACTCATGAAGAAAATCCTTGCTGCTCTTGTTAACAGGAAGGAGAACTGCTCCCCCTTGTCCCAGAGGGGTCTAGGTGATTAAACAACAGAAGCACAGAAATCCGTTGGCTACGACACTTCCATACTCCTCCACTGTTCAAGTTTTCCATTCTCTAGGTATAGATTTCAGGAGAGTGGGACAAGGAGACATCTACGCTACTGGTTCTCAACCTTTTTAGACTCAAGACACCCCTTGGAAAAAATGTCAACTCTTACACCTTTCACTCATTTTTTGACTGCATAAAAATAGAGCCATTCCCCTGTTGCAAAGAACTCACGAAGACCACACTAAGACACAATGTTTTTGACACTATGAATCCCTTTTTGAAATCTCTAGATTTATCTTGTAAATGGTGTGCAGATGCTTGCGCACCTAACCGTGTTAATATTGTGTGGCACCCATTGCACACTAAAAAGGATCTCACCAGCACCCTTGAGAATCTTTGTTCTATACTGTAGCAGGAGCATGCCCTGGCTGGGACACCCCACAAACCTGTAAATACGCCACTGAGGCTGCTCCTTCCTCAACACAGTCTCCAGCATACTTGTGAGTGGTCACCTGGAATGATCATAGAGTCTCCATAGCATATTTCTGTATTTGGAGCATGGAAATGGGAGTGGGTGGATAGGGTGTGATCAGGAATGTCTGTTTCAGCCAAAACAAGCTGCCGTGACGGTGTAAACATACATATGAACTTCTCCCCCTATGAACATCTTTCCTACCTGTGCCCTCCTGCAGTAAGAATGGGGTGGTGATTTCTCTGCTGCTGGATCTTGCTCACCTGTTTGCATTTCTAAGCAGCTGCTAGGACCAGGGGGACGGTTTTAAAACTAGAAATGATATAAATTTACCCCTATAGAGACATTCTAAAATGGTTTAGATATGCCTGCCGTTGTTTTACTGTAAATGTAAGTAACTGTGGGAAATACTGTAAAATTTGTCAGCAGATTCCACTTGAAGGTCTAGGACTGAAAGAATCTGTCCTGATTTGCAATTTTTTTAGTGGCAAAGCTCTCTCTCATTCCTGCTTCACATCCTTTTGGTGCGGAGATTGCAGCTTTTTTATACCAAGTTTTTATTACCTTGAAGATGCTTCTAAGAGTGATTAACCTGTCTTTCTAATTAGATCTAGTGATTAACTCTTATCATGGTTAACTACTCTACAAATGCTGACTGGATACTTTTTACTGCGTAAATGTCAAAATGAAACTAGAATTTTTCTTTAAGTGTTGTTGTAAATTAGTCTTGACATTAAGATGTGCTTATTTCACACTTTCTGGCCAAACTTAGCACGCACAAAAAAAAAATCCAATCAATTAAAATAACCATCTTTTGTCCCCAAAAACAAACAGCCACCTACACTTCTTCCTGAAGTAGGGCTTGACTAAGGAATTAACTAACCTTAGAAGATTTCCTTCGGCTTCTTCTGGTCCAAACCACCACTAGCTTATCTGGCTGCCTGTAGAGAACAGAAGAAAACAATTTAATTCAGAGCAAACCCATTTTAAAAAATGGTTTACTATAAACATAGCCTTAATATATATATATATATATATATAAGGTCAATATATAATATATATATAATATATATTGACATCCTTAATTAACCCATTGCATTTTAAACAGCCTATTTTAAAAGCATCCATACGTTCAGTAGATTAACAGGAAAAAATCTTGCCGTGTTTACAGTAAAATGCTGTAGTCTAACCAGAAGAGAGATACCAATCCTTTTCTTCTCCACTCCCTGAATGCAAACAGCTCCCATAGGGAACCCGATTATAACTGATATCTATGGATCTGAGAACAGGATTCTGCTTGCAATTAGCTTTTACAGGTTTGGCTTCATTAAAGAAACCTTTGAAACAAATGGTATGCAAAACAAATGCAGAACTGAAACCCAATTTGGATTTCTAAGCTAATAAAGCTAGAACAGGGGTGGGCAATTATTTCAGGTGGAGGGCTGCTTAACAAGTTTTGGCAAACTGTCAGGAACCATACAGGTAGCTCCATCCCTTGACAGCTGCCCCGCCCCCAGGGTCGCCACTTTGGGACCAGAAGTCCTGCCCCCTAACCCCTGACCTTTGCCACTGGAAATCCCTCCCCTTGCTGCCCCTCCATCCCCCACCAATATTCCTTTTGGGAGGGTTGCCATCTTACAACCAGAAAAAATCCCAAGTTATAAGCTACAAGTCAAACACCTACAATAATATATTTTAATTTTATTCCAAAAAATATTTGTCATGACTTGTGATTGTGTACTGTATATAGAAGGGATTGCGTAGTAACTCAAAACTAAAATGTCACTCTTTTATATTGCGCGCGGTGAGTGGGAGTGGGGGGGTTGTGAGATGGTGTGGCTTTGTAGAGGGGCATAGGGTATGTTGGGATATAAGAATATGTCAGGTGATCCTTACACCCCCCCACCCTCATACCCACACCCACACCCTGCCCAGCTGAGCTCCATGCTCCCTCTGGGGGCAGGCTCTACACTATGATCCCACCCAGCTGCAACTGTCTTCCTGCATCCCCCCTCCCCCCACGCCATCTGCCCCATCACTTCCCTACCTGCTGTCCTGAGCAAGCAGGTTCTGGCTGCAGCAGGAGCCCTGCCCAGAAGCTGCTGGCTGGGCACAGCCCTTCCACCCAAGAGGGTGGGAGTGAGGCCCAACAGGGTATGTTGGGGGCTTGTACATATAAGAGCCTTACTCCCACCCTCGTTGGCAGAAGAGCTGGGCGGGTTGCAATTTATTGGGGGCGCCACATGCTGGATCAAAGTGTCCGGAGGGCTGGATCTGGCCCACAGGCCGTATTTCGCCCACCCTTGAGCTCAAAGAAAACTCAGGTTGTTATTCATCATAAAGAAATGAAGATGTACAAAAGGATTTTCCTCCTCCAAAAAAAACCAAACCAAAAAAAAAAAAACAGAGAGAGAGAGAGGATCAAGTATTTCATTGCAAATATTGCTTTAGGTATGCTTGGAGGACCAAATATGAAGAGTGGAAGCTTTTTCAGCTCTTAAGTGAAGGGACAAAGATGTTAAATCCCTAAGAGAGCTCTTTTGACAACTGTTTTTCAGATTTATGTAGCTCATACCTATTTAATTAACTACGAACAAAGAATTTTAAACAGTGTAAAAACAAATCACTTTCTTTTTCAGTTTCTCAAGTTTTCCTTCTCCGCTAATTGTTATAATACTACTAGTTCTCCAGGGGTGCTTGTACACATGACAGGCATTTAGTCCTCAGGGTTTTATTCTATGCCCCCTAAGTTGCAACAGTGGGTTTTTAATTGAGACCCACCATTTCAATTTTTCTGTCATGTTATGGCTAGGGGCCCACTCTTTCTTTTTTTTTGTTGGAGCCTGCCCGCAGCTGCGGGGTGAGCTGCCAGCAGGCCACGTGGCTCCCGAGCTGTAGGGGACCCTGGTCCTTCCCTCCACAGTGGCGGCACCCCCCAGGTGGGCTGCTAGTGGCTCGGGTGCTGCCCCAGCTAACCTGGTACAACTCTTCCCTGACCCCAAACTGGGGCAGCATCCAGCCGACTAGCAGCCCGCCTGGGTGGCCCCAGGGAGCACTGCAGCTGTGAAGGAAAGAACTGGGGCCCCTGCAGCTCAGGGGAAAAAGACACCCACACTTCCAGCACCCCATGCACCATCCCCTGCCTTTTCCAGCCACCAGCAAACCCAGCCACCCTCCTGCTGTCTCCCCACACTACCCCAGGGGCAAGCCAGCCTCATTCCCAGGTGGCCCCAAGCATCCTGCCAGCTGCAGGAGCCTGCTGAAAACAGAAGTGGTCAGAGGCCTGATCCTTTTTTCTGTGGAGCCTGCCCACCTCTCCCGAAGCCAGGGCTCCATCATTGTAATTTGCAATGTTGCAAACTAAACTACAGTTGGATGTAGTTTAGTTTGCAATGATGCAAACTCATTTAAACCCCCAAACTTTCACATATACAATGTGACGCCATTAAGTCACACAAAGTGACATTTTCATCATGTGTACATGGTAACAGTGTCACATGTACAAGTGCCCCTCCTGTCTATATCCTCTCTCATAAAAGAAAACATCAAGCTGACTTTATAAAACAAAAAGAAAGGGAGAAAACTCTATTCTATAGATATTGTTCCAGGTATGATGCAATCAAAGCATTCAGCAGAAGGGGTTAAAATAAAGGTGCCCCAAGCATTTTGAATTGGAGTCACTGAAAGGCGGTGTTCACATCATCTGCATGTTACATATTATCTCTTCCTGTTGACTCTATAAACACATAATTCTCCATTACTTTTTAAATGGAAAATGGTTTAATAGCTGGAGAATTCACCTTAAGTTTTGTTGAAACATTAGCTACAACATATGCTAAAATAAACATGGCACCCAGAATTTCCATTTAAATCCAACTAGGGCAGAGATGCTTAACCTCTGGTCTGTGGGCCAAATATGATCCGTGGAGGCAGTGTGTCTGTTTTGCAGGCTTCCCCATGCGTTTTGAAATTTGTTGGTGTGGGTGTGGTGGCCATTAACATGAGCATCCTCCACCTTGCCAAATTCTCCAAGCCCCATGTGCCTGATGGGAGCCAGGCCATGCCCCCTTCCCCCTGCAGGGCCAAGATGGAGCCAGGCCATGCCCCCTCCCTCCCACATGAAGCTGAGCCACACACCCTTCCCAGCTGGGGGGCCACGCCCCCTTCCCCCTCCCCTGCAGTGCCAGGCCATACTCTTTTCCTCATGGGGCCAGGTTGGGCCCAGGGCCATGGCCCGCCCTGCTGGATTGGGTCATATCCCACCTCTCCCTCCTTCCTGTGGGGTTGGGTTAAGCCTCCTTCTGCCTCTGCAGGGCCAGGCTCAGGCTCAGGCCAGACTGTCCCCCACCCCCTACCGTGTGGTTGCTTGCTGGATCAGAACTACCATCTGACCCATGGTTGGACCAGACACTGCCCATCCAGCTCACAGGGGGAAAAGACTGAGCACCACTGCACTAGGGCCTAAGTTACCGATCAACACTGTTAAAAGCCAAATTTTCACTATGGTGTCAGGATCTGATCCTCATTCCTTTCTCCCCACTGTACCCTGTTCCTTTAGAAGTCACCCCCTTCCTTTTCAGCTTGAGGTAAAGTAGTAGTGAAGCAGACTACTCAAAATGCATTTTAGACTTTCAAATACCTTCCCCATTTGGGGGCACAGACTATTAGCTGATATGCCCTGCAGCTCTCTCTACAATCTTGTTTGGTGATGGAGATAACCTGTTACATTCTGAAAGCTTCTTGCTTACTTGCTATTAAGCATGCGATGCTTTCATGCGCCTGCATAACTCCCATTAACGCTAATGGATATTGTGTACATGCCACCAGAAGAAAATGTGCCCCTGAGCTATTTCCTTGATGTAAAGCAATCCCAAACTGTGTCTAAAATGAACCCGTTTATTTCATTCTGTACTTTTAAGTAGACTGGGTCTCATTTCAAAAATAGTTTGCGAGACAAATCAAATTTAACCTTAACACACCCAGTTCTGTGCCAGCTTCTGCGGATCAAACTGTGCCAAAAATAGGAACAACCCTGAATTCCTACAGTACTGGTGGTCAAATCAAAGATGACCCCACATGGAGGAACTGTGTGCCTCTACACTCCTCAGTAGGAGGAAGGCAAAAGATGCCAGCAATGGGTAACAGGGACAGAACAAATCCACATGATCACTGATTCTCCCCTCCCAAAAGCATGACACAGTCAAGCAACATGACCTCCACTAATCCCTCCCACCCTAGCTCAAGCATTACTGTCAGCATGTTCACAGCTCTTCGCAAACAAAGCCTTTTTTTCCTGTGTTTTTATCAACTTTGTATTCCAAGCTCCAAAACTGTGCAATGCAGGAAGGGTTTATTTAAAAAACAAAAAAAGAAAGAAAGAAAGAAAGAAAAGCAAGCATGAACAAGCAAGAGAAGAAATAAACAAATAAGGTTGAAACAAAATCCCACATTCTCCAGGCAATGCTTTCACTTAAATATTTTCATAAACATCTGTAACAGGGCAAATCTCAGCAACTATCTGCTTTCAACAAATCTTCTTCAAAGGCTCACACACACAAAGCTAATCTTACAATTCCTCTCCACTAACTCCTATTCTGGCAACAATTTGTTCATTCTTTCAAGCGGTGACTTAGTGGAACATTTTCAACAGAATGAATTGGAGTTGGGTACCAGCTAGAAAAGTCAAAGGGAATTGGCTACCAGGCCTTTAGAATTTTTCCTCATACTTTTTAAAGTGACCACACTTTTAAATGCAAAAACAAGACATTTGGCATGGCAGCACACACAGGCTGGGAATCAAACAGGAAGGCGTGAGAGGGGTCTGGCAACCTTACAGGAACAGCAAGCCAAATTAGCATAGCTTGCTCTGATGGTGGGCTGCTGCTCCCTTTACCAGCAGGAGGGTGGGAGGGTGGCACCAGACTCCCAACCTAGCTACCAT